ATGACGGGGGGTGGGGCTGGCAGAGATGGAGGCCTATGTCCAGCCCCACACCCTCCCTTCCCCCTGCCACTGCTCATCATCCAGCCCCACTTAACGCCCCCCCTTGCCACCCCGGGTCCAGCCTCGCTCAACCCCTACCCCCCTGTCGCTCCTCATCCAGCCCCCCATCCCTCTTGCTTCAGGTCCGACCCCATTCCTCCCTCCCTCCCCACTTTTTGGTTCCAACCCCACTCCCCCTCTACACCGCTTTGAGTCCGACCCAGCTCCACCCCATCTCCCCCCCACTTCAGGTCAGGCCCCACTTCACCCTCCCTGCTTTGGGTCCAACCCCACTCCTCTCCCTCCCTCCACCCCCACTGCTTCGGGTCTGACTCTGCTCCCCCCACCCCCGTGCCACTTCAGGTCCAACCCCATTCCCCTCTTTCCCCCCATCACTTTACGTCCATCCCCCCTTCCTCCCTGCGCCACTTCGGTCCGGCCCTGCTCCCCCACCTGCCGCTTCAGGTCTGAACCCGCTCCTCCCCATTCACCTCGCCACTCCAGGTCCCCCTGGCCCTTGTTCACCTGCTTCCCCACTCCTCTCCTTCCTTGCTGGCTGTTCTGGGGGGCATCCAGTCAGGCAGCAGCCAATCGCCTCCTGCCCTATCCACGACGCACATTTAGTTTGCCAGAAGTGTTACAGACAGACGGACACACATACAAAATAAGACTTTTATTATATTAGAATTTTCATGGTTGATTATCTGTGCTGTTGTTTGAAAACAAACTCTAAACTCGGTGCTTTTGAATCTCATACTTTGCTCAGATTTGTCCTCCTGAAGTAAAGAACAAGCAAACATCTCAGGAGCAGTCTGAAGTTGTTGAAATTGTAGGAGAAGATAATGACCCAGACATCATCTATGTAAGAAGCTATTTTACCCTATTTAAAAACCCAGAGATAATTGGCAGTGTCAGCAGAAAACCTGGAGTGCAATTGTCACCCTAATTATTTTTTTGCTACTTGGAAATCACTCTTGTGCCAGCAACAGGGTTTGGGCATAACTGTCTAAAGTGCTGTTAAAATAATATTTTAGCAAAACTATCTATGGATTATGGTTGAACTGTGGTAACAGAAAAATATTTTTATGCAGTAGATAATGTAGCATAGATAGGACCTAAGTGACTTAAAGCTAGTAACACTCTCAGTCAACTAGTTCTGAGCTCTCTAAACCCATGTTGAAATATCACTTGTCTTAATTACTTGTGGATCATCTGCTCTAAAGTGCTGGTTTGTTCATAAAACTTGAAAAGGTAGTGTTGCTAATATAATGAAAATCAGTCCATAAAACAATAAATCTCCCATATAGGTGCAATTAGCACATACTTACAGCTAATTATAGAACTGTAATTAATTTAGAATAGTGCCAAAACCCTATAAATCTCAGCCTTTTAACAGCTCAGTATGTTTCCTCCAAAATAGACAGGCCACCAACAAAGTGGATGAGATTCACATGTGTTAGAATTTGGATTTTAAATTTAACAACTCTGGAGTCTGATGGTAAAAGGCATAATGAACAGAATTACAAAGATGAAGTAGAGAAGATCATCCCCTAAAAACACCACAGAGTAAATGTCTTGGAGTCAAGGAAGGTAAAGCATGAAATCTAGATTGACCAGGGTAAGGGGAACAGAGTAATACCCAGGTATTAAAATGCATTTGTTGCAATGCTGTACTGGAGCTGAGGAACTCTTTTAAAATATGGCAAGTGTGACAGAAAAACTTTATCTTTCTGTTGTAAGCCAGCTAGCAGGAGAAATATGACTGTTACGTGACACTTCAAATACATAAAGGGGAAAGCCTGTAAATAAAGCAGTAGTTGTTGTGAAGCTTGGACAGATTGCAGAGCTACATTAAAAATAAAAGCAGTTGATGTAAGAAGAATCTCTGGCTGAACTCTTGAAGTGACAGCAAAATAATTTCCTTACAGTTAAAGGGAAACAGTGAAGGTTTAAGTACAAATAGTTGACAATGCATTCTGATAGCAGAACAGTTATTGAGGAAATAACTAAAGTATGTTGTTGACAGACCAAGGACCTCAACCCTTAGGGGAGTGTGACAATGGGAGATGGCACTGTAGTTACCATGGGCGACTGGTACCTCCTGATTCTGGGGGGGGCCACAGATCACCAGTGGCGGGGGAAGGGAGGGTCTCCCAGCAGCCAATAGCCTACCAGGGGGAGACCACTTCTACCGGCACTTTGATTTTGCAGCTGGTGCTTCCAGGGGGTGCACAGCCAGTCTCAGGGGGTGCACATACATCCCCTATGCATCGCTAATGGTAGATATTATTAAATGTGATGACCAAGATTAATTATAATTTTTTTAAGTCTTCTATCTTGGATTTTCTATAGAAAAATATTTATAGATATGCATATAATGCTGTGTTTAAATAGTAGTGTGGTACAGTAGAACTAAACACTTCATAGGTGGAACCACCTGACTTGAGTTTCCAGGCTTGTCGCTGAGCCACTGGGTGCTAAACAGCAACGTGATTTATCCAACATTGATTTTTACCATAGACCTGTTAATTAGGGTGTATGTTGCTGGATACAAATAACAAGAAATGTTGTGAGTTAGGCAGGATAATAGGCTTGCGATCTGTGTTTCTTGCATTAATTAATTGGGGGTTTTTATTATTGTGTTAGCCCAAAACTGAAAGTATGGACACCTACAGAAAAAAAGCCTGCCCTATTTGAGGTCAGGAAGGAATTTGGTATGGACTGTGGAGGTTTTTGCCTTCCTCTGGAGCAGGCAGCCAGTCTGGCCCTGCAAGCGAAAGGAAGAAGAGCTCTGCAGCAAGCTGGTTATGGCTAAGTTAATGCCATATGGTTACTATAACTCTGGTTACCCAAATAGGTTGGTGTACAAATTCAGACACTTCTTTATTACCACATCTATTAAATTGTTCTCAAATCATTTAAATCTTAGGATACATCTATAGCAACTGAAGTTGCATTTGCAAGCAAAGTAGTTGCAAATCAGATGTTGTTCCAAATGTAACTACTCTGACTGGAACATCATTAGACATTCAGCTCGTTTTGCTCGTCTGCACTCTGGTTTCCAGGTGATTATTAAAAGAACAACAAACCAGGGATGAGTTTAGGCTGATACTGCACTTTCTTCTCTATTTCACTTGCATGCATTGTTCATTGTCAAGGAGACAGAAGAAGTGGGACAGTTTAACCTATATTTTAGTGCATAGTTGCACACAATACAAAATATGATAAAAATGGGAATGCACTTGGAACTAGTTATTATGATAAAACCTGACTGCTGAGCCATCCTAACATACTGTGGCAGAGCACCTTTGGGGTCTGCCACTTTAAGAGCCTGAAGAGGCAACCGGCAGATGCGGCTCAGCTCTGATGAGCGGCCATTTTAAGATTCAGGCCAGCAGAGCTGGAGGCAGCACTCTGCTGCCTGGAACCAAGGAAACAACATCTCCCGGTGGAGCTGCTGCTCCAGTAACATCAGGAGGTAAGGGCAAGAGCTGATGGCAATGGTTAGAAGGTTCCTGGTCCTGGGCATGACCTAAAATTGCACCCTGCTGGGGATGGGTGGTCTGGTAGGGCTGTTTGTGGTGGAACAGCCCCCTAGAAATGCCAGGCCAGTTACCACCCCAGTGGAAGGCACCTAAACCCCAGCCCCCACAGAGGCAGTTGGGGGCCAGGCACAGCTGCGGCCACCTGAGCCTGTGTGGGATGCAAGACCCCAGAGAGTGGAGAGTGGGGCCAGACATGGCTGCAGCCACCTGAGTCTGTGGGGTGTGTGTGTGGCCCCAGGCCCGCGTAGGGCGGACAGAGTATGGGCCTCAGTGGAGGCAAAGGTGTAGAGCCGGGTGGTGTGGGACACCTGACAGCCTACACCTGAGTGGCAGTAGGGAGGCCTGGAGAGCCTAGTGAAGAGGCAAGGAGCCCAGATGCTAGGACCCCCAACTGTGCATATATGTGGGAGAAGGAGCCCAGTGAGAGTGAGGGGCTAAGAGCCCAAGGAGAGAGGCTGGAGTTAGGGGCTGGGATATAGTAACAACATGTGAATGCCAAGAGGGGCAAGTAGTGAGGCCCTATGAACAGGGGGCCTGAGATGAGGTCCTGTGAGGAAAGGATCCAGATGACTTGAGGGTAGGCCCTGCTAACATGGAAGCCAGGTTAGATCCAGGTAAGCCTTTGGGCGCCTGAGGCCACAGGTGGGCCAGAGGCCGATTGGGTGCAGCAGCTGAGGAAGTGCCACGGGTAAGCAGCAGGTCTAGTCAGGAACCCCTAATTCAGAGCAACTGGGTTTATGACCCGGTGAGGAGCTAGAGGCAGAGTCACTCCAATGTTGTGCAAACCTCCCAGCGCTTGCTCAAATGAAGGTCCCAGAAGAGGCCACACGCTTGCTGACCAGGGAGCGCAGGGAAACAAGCCCCAGGACCCTTTGGGCATGGGTAGGGTGAGTGTGGCTGTGGGAAAAGGAAGGGCGGTACGAGAGTGGCCCCGCAAATGGCCAGTATGATAGAAACCATGTGAGAAGTGGAGGAGTGGGAGAGGCCTTAGTGAGAGGGAGGCAGTACAAGTGTGGTCCGTAATAGGGCAGAAAGCGAGAAACCTAACACTTGGATGAGGCCGGAGCAGAACTCAGTTGTTAAGAACATCTGTGAGACTTGGGATGCAGTATAGGGGTAGTTGGAGCTACATACATAAGCCCCAGGAGAACAAGGCATCTGAACGGCAGCCTCCCGCCTTCTTAAGAACCAACTAAGAGACAACAAGGCATGGCAGGAAAGAAGGGTGGGTGGCGTGCCCAGAGGCAGGTGAGGAGACTACCGCTGTGGCTAGTCAGGGAGTTTCCACTTTGCCACACATACATTAGAAGAATAAGGGTCCAGCAGCAGCTGTGCTTTGACTTGTCCCAGATAATAGGGCAGATTTATGTCAGTGGGGCTCTGTCCCATGTTGGACATGCACTGTGCCAGGTACAGGTCTGAGTAGCCTTCTGTCCAGAAGCGAGTCCATCCTTGAGTTTCTTAACTTGCATTGGATTGTGTGTACACAGTAATTGCTCTCCATCAGTTTTAAGAAGGTGTGAGTTTTAAGAGAGAACAGCTCAAGTGAAAGAACTCTTGCTGTGTCTGGCCTTTGTACAGGAAACAGATAAAATAGCAATGGTATTTAAGAAATGCAGAACTCTAGAACACTTGCCTCAGATGTGATACCTTTTATTAGACCAAACTAAGACATCACTAAAAAAAAAAAAAAAGTCTTTCTGCTATGGTATTTATGCATTTTTCAGCTACATGAGTGTCAGTACAGTCTGATCATCATTCTTCAAATGGTGCTGGAATGCCTTTTTCACAGCCATTATAGAAATGCCTGTAAACACTCTTATCAAATGATGTTTCTTTTTTCCTCTTAAGTGGCCATATGATTCATTTTGAAAACAGTGGATCTCTCTTGGTACATAGCACACCATTCATCCCAATCGCTGTTGGTTCCCTGAAACTTCTAAGCTCATCTGCTGATTTTTTTATCTCTCTTAAACAACATGTCTGACATTACTTCTTGCTCAGAGTACATTTGTGTGATCACAGCTGGCAATCGCAACTCTGCCAGTTGGTGACAAATTAAGTTAGACAAATACCTCCTCTCATAAGAACTATCATTGCTTTTCTGTTATGGTGCAGCCTCAAGAAATAACAGAATAATTCCTGTTTTGTTTTGTTTTTTAATAATGGGGTAGCTCCTTTATGCTAAACCTTAAGTTTACTAACTTCCTTATTCTTATTCCTTAACTTTCTTATTTGCCTTAAGTCCTGCATTTCTTGCCTCAAGTATTTGTATACAGTCTTTCTATTATGTTTGTAT